TCCACTGTGAGAGACCCGCTGAAAAAGACACCCTAACAGTCAATAGGGGCTTTCCCACTTCACAGCTATTGCTTCCTCCTTCGCTGAAACTCGCTTGCAATTTGAGTTTATCGACAAGTCAATCAATAAATGACGGACTATCCTCCTCGCTCCTCCTCACAGAACTTGAGGGGGATGAGGTCACCGGAGGAGATGCTAACGGGCGGCTCTCGTGCCCCCAAAAAGCGGGATCGAAGGAGAAAAGGCTTCCCAGCGCCCGGAACTAGGCGCTCATTCCCACGTGCGCGAAAAGGGCGCCACGGCAAGGTCTCTGAAGATCCCTCCGCGCACTGACCCAACCACCACGCACGCGCCCGAGCCCCTCCGCCGCACGCCTGCCACCAAGACTTCCAAGCCCGCGCCTTCCCCGCCCCGCCTCCCCTCACCCGGTTCAATGCCGCTTTGACCGATCTCTGGGTTAAGACGCTCACTCGGAAGCCGCCATAGCAGAACAACGGGCACGCCCCGGAAGAAGGCGGGAAGCGCCTCGCTCGGAGCTACGGGTGCCCTCAGCAGGCAAAAAGGCTCCAGTCGTTCCCGAGCGCGCCAGGTTGCCTGGCAACGGCCCCTGTGGGGTTGCTCTTCCCAGAAAAGAGGGGAAGCAAGCCAACGCTTCTTTCCATGGCCAAGTTCGTCCTCGCAGGTGAGGGAGAAAATGCGGAGACTGCTTCACAGACCTTGCAGGAGTGCGCTGGGCTTAGCAGGGCTGTTCTGCCCCCCCCCGCAGCCTGCTCTCAAAACGTCGCCCGTCCCCCCCTCCCTCCACTGGAAAGTACACACCTCTGAGCAAGTGCAAAGTTGGTGTTCCTTCGGCCTTGGAATATAGTTAGGGCTGCAAACACCATCATGTGCCAGCGAGTTCCACAGGGCAACCAAAGTATCTTCTGCAATAAAAACCTTTTGCTGTTAAGTGGTTTGATTCCCCTGTTCTGCCATGGAAACTCACTAGGGGGTAGAACTGGTAAAATCACTCTTGCAATATATCATTTACCTTAAAAGCTCTTTTAGGGTTACTATCATGCTTCCCAACAGTTGGACTTTAGTTGCATATATGTTCTCCAATGACTACAAATGGAAATAATTCATTTAGCTTCCCTGCAATTCATCTTATTGTCCTTAACATAGCCCCCCAACCCTCCTGTGTCAGGCTGTTGGGGTACTTTCCACACATCTACCTATCTTTTAGTTATTTAAATCAATGATCTGAATGAATGACCATCAGTATGGGTGCTTTTAGTGGAGGGTTCCTAGCACTACAAATTAGAAGACACTGTGAAATTGTTCAGTCTTTTTCTCAAAGTGTGTGTGTGTGTGTGTGTGCGCGTGCGCGTGTATTGACAGAAAAAACGAAGAAAATGAGATCTGTTGTGGGGGGGGAATGACTGCACCCCCCTCCCCATGAATGAAGTAGACTTGTGACAAAATAAAAGCCTCCACCCGGAAGCACTGTGTATTTTATGGGAGGAAGTTGTGTATATTAATTTAATAAAATATTCCAAGGTTATAGAAAAAGATAGAATTTGTTTCAGATACAGTTACCTGAAAAACTTGAACACAAGGCTTCTATTATGAAAGATGCCATTGGTTGTCCTGTGAAATTCAGTGGTACATGATAATGTCCTTGCCATAACTAATTTGAAAACAAAGTGAAAGAAAAACTGGCAGATACTGTATCCTCTGTCTTGATTATCCTCTTTCTTTGTACTAAACATTTATTTTATTTTTAATGTCAGATAAATTCCTCTGGCATCATAAGCTTGAGAATGTTTACCATTCCTGTTAATTTCCAGGTAGGGCAGATTGCCCCTATTATGCAAAGGCAGAACTCCTAGCAGACTCTCTTGAGAAAAATCTGCCTAACTTCAGAATACACAAGATTACTCAGCACCCTGACAACTGGGAGGTAAGAAGGCTCATAGACTAAACAGGAGGGAAACCTCACTCCCCTCCTCCTGCAATCTCAAGCCACCTATGCTGGAAGTAGAAGACTGCAGTCTGGTTCACTAGTGCATGAAATCCCAAAGTGTGCAGGTCTTTGGACACATATTTTCAGGTGACACGCAAGGCACCCTTGTGGGAAAAGCTGTTGTACTGTGGATGGCTCTTAGGATCCTGGCCATTAAATATGATCATGTTTATCCTCATTTTATCTCAGAGATCGGATACTTTGTTTTTGTTATATGCAATCAACTTGCTTCTGTTTTAGGATAACCTGAGTTGAAGTCCTCCAAAAGGTCCTGTCATTAACAGCCTTGTTCTGATCTTGTAAACTAAAGCCTTTAGTGTGTAACTCCATCTAATGTTAACTCTTCCTTTTTTTCCTATTGCCTTCAAATTATCCTAGGATTATTGCCCCTTTTCAGTTGTCTTGTATTCCTTTCTCCCACCTCCCCACTTTTTTAAATCTACCAAAAAAAAAAAAAGATCAAGAATATGCAACAAGGCTTAAAAATGTCTCCTCCTTACGTGTGAAAGAAACATCAGTAAAGCTAATCTTTCAAAGGTTTGCATGAGTTTCGAGAGAGGAGTATTGATTAAGGAAAAAGAGAATGTGACAACAATTTTGATACATTAATGTAAGAACTATACTGTACATCTTTTTGATTTACAACATTTTAACAATCCACTTGCTTGTTCAGTTGCAGTCGTTATGTATCTGAAATGTAGTGGCAGAATTCTCACACATATCAGAAAAAAAGTGAAAACATTAATGTGAAAGATTCATAAGAATTCTTCTACCTCTCTTTCTGTCTTCGGTATTCAAAGATAGACATCCACATGTGAAATAATAAGCCTCTTCTTGAAGATGAAAGGAGGAGTTATTTGGATGCATCACCTTGGGAAACTGAAACATTCATGTGTCAAGGTTGTATAGAAGCCTTCTCCCCTGTTTATCACGCAGTAATATTCTATTCTTAATTTGGGGATGTTGGCTTTTAGACATGGCTGCAGGAAATCTGTGAGAAGAATGGATGGGAACACAAGCGTTCTCCTATTATTTGGAGGGAGCTCTTAGACCGTGGAGGAAAGGGCCTTCTTCTTGGAGGATTCAATGAGTTCATGGAACATATTCAGGTAAAAAGTTTCCATCTGAATTTTCAGTATATTTCTTCTCTTTTTCTTGTGAGGAAAAGGGCATATCTATATTTAGGCAGTACAGTGGTACCTGACTAGATGACGACCCCGCTGTACAACGAAACCGCATGACGATGACTTTTTGCGATTGCTATAGCAATTTGCAAAACAGTCATTCCTATGGGGGAATTATGCTTGACGATGATTTGGTCCGTACTTCGCGGACCGTTTATTCACAAGACGGCATTTTTTTCCGACGGTCATCGGGTTCCTAAAATGACTGCCCTGTGTTTTCCGGACCCATGCTTTGCAGGGCAGCCATTTTAACAGCTGATTGGCGCTCACAAAATGGCTTCCTTATGGGTGATCTTCACTGGACGAGCAGGTATTTTCCCCATTGGAACACATTAAATGGGTTTCAGTGCATTCTAATGGGGAAAGGCTTTTCCCATGACGACGATTTTCCCAGAACAGATTATCGTCATGTGGGGCACCACTGTATCTAGTATTTGTTCATGTTATTACCGTGTTTCCTCGAAAATAAGACAAGGCCTTATATTAATTTTTGCTCCAAAAATGCATTAGGGCTTATTTTCAGGGGATGTTTTCTCTTTTTTTCATGTACAACAATCTACATTTATTCAAATACAGTAATGTCATCTTCTGGTTGCTGCACCATGGTTGAGGGCTGTGTTTCACTTAACGGGGGCTTATTTTTGGGGTACTGCTTATATTAACAGCATCCTGAAAAAATCATACTAGGGCTTATCTTCAGGTTAGGTCTTATTTTCAGGGAAACAGGGTATTAGTGTTTCAACTCATATATTGTCTCATGCTAGAGCACTCACTGCATGGCTTACAACATAATTATGCAAATAATATATTTGCCTTCCAATGAGCTGGGTACTGATTTCACCAACCTCGGAAATATGGAAAGCTGAGCCAACCCTGAATCGGCTACCTGAACCTGTTGGGATTGAACTCAGGTAGTGAACAGAGACTTGACTGCAGCACTGCAGTTTAACCACTGCACCATGGGGTTCTTGTTCACCCTTGTCTCAACAATATGCTATAGCATGAGCATATTTGTTAAGAAATTAGTCAGCTGGGACTTATACTGTTGAGTTAGAATCACACTGGAAGATTATGAGGGACACACAGCATCAAGGTGCCATAAAGGAGAAAGAAAATATTTTTAATTGAAGCCACTGGGAAAATACAATGAGCTGTAAATTGAACTGGAAGAATATTAGCCTAATATGAAGATCAGAAAATTATTCCCAAATTGTATGAACCACATAATTATGGAGAGTGAATGACTGCAATCTAAATATTTTTGCCACTGCAAAGAACTGGCCTGGATCAGTGGTTCCCAGTCATTTTCACTGGTGTACCTCTTGGCATTCCATTTCCATAAATTGTACCCTTCAGATTAATGAATGTCTGTGATGAATATGGTGGTTGTCATTTCAAATATATATGTTGTAACTGTAAATAGCCCAGTATTGGGATTAAAAAGCAATGGAGTAATAAGATGAACAGACAGTGCATATATATATTTACATTCAGTTGTGCCAGTTTTCAACCACTGATGCATCCCCAATAATACACAAATTGGAAAATTAATTTTAAACTTAAAATGATGGCAAAGAGAAGGGAAGACACAGAAGAACTTATTCATGGAACGCTGTTCACAAGTCTCACTGAGGTGTCTGCTTACATATACATTGGTACCAGCACAAGAGCACTTGAATGTTTGCAAAGCAGAGGAGAGTGAAAGCTGAGCGTGTAAGGGGCATGCCTCTGAGCATGCATGCTGTAGTGGCATGTTCATAACACATTGTTTGGGGAGAGGTACTCTCCACCATCCACCAAAATGACAAAGCAAGGGAACAGGGCTTTTTCTCAATGTTAAATAACAAAGAAACCCACTCCACCTCTTGTTGTTCAATTAATTTCACAACTTTTGACTTGTATCTTGACTTACATTTTGATATATGTGCCCTTTTCCAGCATTATTCTCTAAACCCTAAATGTTCTGATTTATACCCTTGAGGATACGTGTAGCCAGGGTGGGAACCACTGGCCTAGATGATCATGCTTGATTGTTCATTTATAACATACTCAAAACTGCCGTGTAGGTCATGTGTAAATGCTGTTTCCATTCTATCCCTTGTTCTTCCTTTTTTTTCTTTTTTAAAGAAATAGGCTTTGCTTTCCAGATTTTGGAGTATGCAATGGTTTGTAGTGCATGACCCATATTTGCAAGTGTGTGAATTATTCTTGCTAATCTTCAGCAGTACTATGACGTCACATCAATCATGAAGACAGCAGAGATGCTCCTAATAGCTAAGGAGAACCTGCAGACACACATAGAAATTGAGACAGAAGAGGAAGAACAGAAAAGTCTTATTAACCCCCTGCACATTTGGATCAATAGGTGGGAATATTAAAAAGAACTATATAGAGGTCTCAGAAAACTTCAGTCTAATTCAGCATTTCCCAAAATTTCCAGCAGTCTCATTTTGATTTTGAAAAACTGCCACATCAGTTCATTTTAACAATGGCAATTGATTGTTAATTAATAACTTAAAATAAATATAAACTTGTTTTACAGGGAAAATAACCACAAACAGATTTTCTTGAGAAATCGTACATTCAAGTAGTGACATCTAACACAGAAATTTGTTTAAACCAATTAAAATATTTTCCCTGTATCAAAATCTCACAGTGCTGTGCCCCCTTGGAATTTCTTTGTGCCCCCAAGGTGATGTGTCCCCCTCCCCCAGATTGGGAATCAATGATCAAATCCATTTCTTATTTTATACTATAACTATCATAGAAACTAGAAAACATGCTTAATCTCGGATATGTGCCTGAAGAAATGCACTCACTGCTTGCAATGCAAAGGTTCCCAGTAATTGCACGTGGACAATGTGATATTTGGCATTATGACACATTTGGAAGAATCTGGGCAGAATTTATGGAGTCAAGTGATAAAATCTTAGTCTACCTCTTTCTAGGAGAAATTGTAGCTATACTTGTTAGTCCTGCACTGATATTCACCTGACCATCTTCCCCATTTGGTGTTGTATTTGCTTGCTATCCCTAGCTATGACATCTTCTTACTTCTGTTTTCTCTTCTCATTCTTCATATCTACTGTTTTGGTTTGATTCCAGTGTTAATTTTTAATTCCTGAATGGGTTAGTTTAATTGAATAGGCTCCAGTCTGAAGGTCTAGCTAGCATTAGCAAGTCATAATACCCAGAGGCAGATAGGCAGATCAACTATACGTAAGTTCAGCAGCATTTTTTCAATGTAGAAAATGTTTCTTTATCACTTTTTTTTCCAACCAGTGCATCCGATCATGTCTGCTATCACTTGATCCCTCTGTTAACCAATGGAGAAATATTTGGTATGGATACTGAGATCAGCCTCCACTTGTTTGACAGAAGCAGCTGCAAAGAAGTTCTTGAGGGCGTAGTCATGGAAACAGAGGACTTAGCCTCCCCAGTCCTTCGTAGTGTCTCCTTGCACATTGAACTGGACGGGGCTTTTCTTGATGGTGATGTTATAATTTTACTTGATGACGTCCTTCAGGAGACAATCCCAACGCTTGAAGACTGCATCCGACAAGTGGCCAGGCAATGTGAAATCTACGGTCCTTTGATAGAAAAAAATGCCAAAAGCAGTGTCCGAATTGTAGTTATGGGGAAGACATTTGCCAACCTTAAGGCATTAATGCTGATGACACATGCTCCATCCCTTAACCCTCGAAATATTGTTACTCTTTCCACTCTCTTGGAAAGTGAAGCAAAAGCCATGTTAGCAAGAAAATTACAAATGCATCCAGCAGGTGAGTAAGAAGTGGTTATGGATCAACCAATAATTTAATAATTTAGCACTTACAGTATTTTAATTATTCTCAGGACAAAATATGTTTAAAAATACGCTTTATAAAAGCAACAAATGAATATCTGATGGAACCATATATTTTATATTGGCATAAAACCCCATGAAATTCCTCAAAATTAAAAACATTCCATGCTATACAACCTAATGCCAATAGTGAAAGTTATTTCTGGAAGAAAATAACTTTTAGGGAAAAGCATCTGTACAACAGGCACTTTGTCTAAGAATGCCTCTCTGTCTGTGCTTATAGCAAACCAGTGTGGTAGGAGACCACATATTAGTCCCAACTTGTCCCTGCTAGAGCAGCTGTTGATCTGAGTCACATAGTGACAAATCAGCAGATCAGCTGGGTGCTAGTAATGCTGTTGATAAATATAATCCATGGAATTTCTGGAAGAGCATTAGTTTTCCCGTATATGATTGACCTCAGTGAGTGTTAACTAAGCACTTTAGGTATAGATGTGAGCTAATGACACTTATGGGGTTAAGCAAAGATTCCCATTCAGGCTCACCAGCTCATTTCTGAATCGAAGAGACGTGATAAGGAAGACCTGATTAATATTGTTCAAATCGCACTGTACCAAAGGTCAACAGGAACTGGTGTCAACCAATGAGGTCATAGAAAAAGGTGATTAGTTGTGACATTTTAGGTGTTTTGGGCCTACATTATCCACTAAGTAGCCTTAGCTAGAATAACCGTTATGGCAACTGCAGTCCAGAAATGCATGAGAGGGCATGGTTGGCTACTCTCTTATGGATCTCAGAGGCTTCTACCTAGACATAACAAAGCATAACACATTCTGCCCAAACAAAGAATAGCACATTATTGTAAGGATGTGATGGCAAAGATATGTCCCTTCTGTAGGCTATGCCAACTCTCAGCAAAGCTGTCATTTTCCACCATGAAGCTATTAGAATAGAGTGCTGAGCAAATACTGCTTCAATACAAAGGAACATAAGGTGGGTAGATGGTTCTTACATGAGTGACTATATCAATAGCAGCTAAAGATCATGATGACTATGTAGAGCCTATATGTTCATTGGCAATATCTTGACAAAGGATATCAAGGGAGAGATGTTGCTCTCAGAGCCTTCTTATGGTCTTTTGAGAAGCATCTGGATAGTCACTGTGAGAAACAGGATGCTGGAGTAAATCAGGGTAGGGAAACTGGCTCTCCACCTAATCTTGATGAACAACTGTCTCCATCTTCCATCCTTATTGGCTAGACAGATGGGTCTGAGGGGAAACAACATCTGAAGGGTTGCAGTTTCCCCAGATAAATGTTAGTTTTATCCAAAAGAGTTGCTCTTACATTCTTACTGGTTTGTTCCCTAACCTTCTTCTTCTTCTCTTTAACAGGAATAAAAAATCTTATAGTATGGGGTAATGTCACTGGGAGCAGCTTCATTGATCTGAGTAAAACAGAACTCTATAGATACGATAGCGCCATCTGGGGCCCGCCAAGCTTCTTCCGTCCTTTACTGAATGTGCTGTTTGATCGGTAATTTGATGATGATAACAACAACAACAATGTTGTAATTTGCTTGTTTTACAGCTCCTGAATACCCAGGGAGTGCTGCACTCTCTGAAATAGAAAGAGCTTGTAATATGCTTGATTTTTGTATTTTACTATCTTAAGATTTGCTATAATTATGCTTTTTGGCCTGTGTTGGTATTTGAAAAATCTCAGACAAACAAGAATTTCTAACTGAGTGGCTTGAAAAATGATATGATATGCAATTGTATTAAGATGTAGGCAAGCTCTGAGGACAAATTCCAGAACTGAATAGAGTGTTTTAGGACTGGATTTAGTATAACAAGATTTCTCTCTACCTCACTTTACAATTGCATCAGAAGTGTACCAAAACTTTAGTTTGCAAAATTCACACCCTGTTTATCCCATGGCCCCTGTCCCCCACCCCTTCACTTAACACATAAAAGTAAATAAATAAATAAATAAATAAGTACACCAACACTTTAGTTTGCAAAATCCACCATCAAAATGAATAGCAGGAGCTATTCATTTAAGTCACATGTATAACCTTTACTTTAAGTGAAAGGGATTAAGCTAAGTGATTTAATCCTTAAAGGGATTAAGTAATTTATCTGACCTTTAATTCATTTTACTAATAGGAAGTTTTCCATTAAAAATCATGTTTTCCTTCATGTATCATTAGATTCCATGTAGAATATTGCTTAAGGAAACATTGAAGCCTGGTATTTTGCCTTATAGTTATTAAGATCAAAGTGTTGTAAATGGGTTACAAGTAAAGGCAACATACGTAATTCAGCTGCTTATGACAGTGGCCTCTAGCAGAAAGAGGTACAGTGTGGCTTTGAAACATATTTTACCTAATTTTTTTTTTAAAAAAACTGTTCTTTTCTAGATTTTTCCTGAAAGACTCGTGCATTTGGTCTTTTGTTTTGCTTTTAGGTACCCTTGACCTTCATTAGAGACTCACATTTTACATTCAAATCTGCAACTGAAACTAAACATTAAGGAGCTTAAACATTCCCAACAGTTAACCTGCTTTCCTTCCCCAAACAGTATTTTCTCAGGTATATGTACATGAGCAATCAGACTTGGAATTTCAACCAATGCTTACTCTCTAATGGCCACTTACAAAATGTTGTTGTTTAGTCATTTAGTCGTGTCCGACTCTTCGTGACCCCATGGACCAGAGTACACCAGGCTCTCCTGTCTTCCACTGCCTTCCGGAGTTGGGTTAAATTCATGTTGGTCGCTTCGGTGTCACTGTCCAGCCATCTCGTCCTCTGTTGTCCCCTTCTCTTACC